TAATCAGGGTATCCATCCAATCTACATTGGATCGATGGTAAAGCTTGTGCTGGGTTTATTATCACCCTTTTTTGTGGGCTAATTGTATCACTACTGCTTTGTGGTCGTTTGCGATTAATTTTCTCAATGTAACTCTTATCCACTGATATGGGAGGACGAGGATTACCGGGAACACCCTCCGGATCGGGAGGAGGGTTGGATTTAGAATCGTTTGGTACGAATTTGGCGGAGTAAGGTGGTTTATTTGGTAGAGATTTGGTCCCCGATTATAATAATACCACTCACATTAAAAGGTAATACACCGTTATCAAAAAAATAAATATAAACTTTTATAACTATAAAGAATAAAAAATATAATATATATTATAAAAATAAAATAAAAAATAAGAATAAAGAAATTATAAGGAATAAAAGAGATCCTTTTTAGGGGTTAATAAAAAAATTATGTTAACAGACAATAAAGAAATGTTAAGAATAATATACTGTGAATAATTAAGAATAATATACTGTTTTATATCTGAATTGTTTAAAACTGCCCAGAAATACTTAAACACCCAGAAATAATTTCAGTTGTAATAGGTTAGAAGGTTGTGGCAGGATCCTTCGATTCTGTCTGATCTTCTTCGATCTGATCGAATCTGTACTAAAATTAAACCAGCCTACCCCGACTCCACGTAGTCATGCCTGCCCTACTCCTAGAGTGTTTTTGTAAAGCCGTAGGCGCGGAGGGACAGCAGCCCCTACCCGCTGTAACAAATCACAGGCACCTGTGGGAGCCATAGTGGCTGAGGTTGGTCGCCTTCGGCGACCAATAAGCCGAAGCTGCGAATGTGAGCATGGGTGCCTGTGATTCGCTACGCAAGGGCGAAGGGGCTGCACTTCCTGCAGTGCCGAAGCCATTGTAGAAGTAACTTTGGGTCAATATTCCTGTGTAAAAAAGAGAGGTTATGATTTTCCAAAAAAAAAATTATTACGCATAAACTACACTTTTCTGCAATGAGGGAAAGGTAGAGAGTCTTTCCCTGATAGGGCACACTCCTGCTATCCACTTTCCCGCTTCTGCCGGAGACGTTAAATCTTACTTTCAGGTTAGGTCTATGGTATTTTCTTTTTAATTTTTCTCAAGAACGGTGTATTACCTTTTAATGGGAGTGGTGTCGAGAGTAAGGGGACGCTCCCCCCTTCCCTTCCCCTGAACCCCTGCCCCCTCCTCCTGCCAAACGATTCTAAATTTCAACCCGGAAGGATCCTCCTCCATTTTATTTAAGGAAATCACATATAAATCTAAACTACTAATCAACACTTACTTTTAAAACCACAATCAACACAAATTAAGATTAATTAAAGCGATTTGCTGATTTAACAGTTCTTCAATTTAAAAAAAAGCCTAAAATAGCACGAAACTTGTTATCTCACTCGACTCTCAAACTTTCTCCAACTCAACTCTCAACTCACTGATATCCCACAACAACAACACCATTATTTTGGTGACATTTTCATGATATACAATGTACAATGTTATCTGTGTGTGACATTGACATTGATTGTTATTGTTGTTTTTATTATTCGCTCGAGAGAGCAGGCAAAGGAACTAAGCCACACATCCTTCATTGACATTGACGTTTTTATTCGAAAACCTTGACGTCGTTTTTATTATTCGCTCGAGAGAGCAGGCAAAGGAACTGTGCCATACAGCCTTATCTTTATGTATAATTATCCTTCATAGTTCACTGCTTGACAATATGTTGATGCGTCACATTATGCAGCCTTTGGGAGATTTTGACGGCAACTTGAGCCAGCAGGCAGCTGACAGTTGGCGATGGTATCTAATGGCGCCTAAGCAGACAGACATCTTATCTTGAGCATCAGATTATCATCAGAGCACGTGTTACACCGTTTCCACTAATAGTTCATATGCGCAGGCAATATACAAAATCGCACCACTTTAACATATCAAAATCCACTTCAAACCATTATTTAAACAATAATACAAGAGCAGCTATCCTCCACCGTTCAAGTTCCCGCCAAAACTCTTCCTTTGATCCACATTCCGTCCATGTGCAAAGAGAATATAATCACTATTCCATGTATTTTTATATTTATATTTTTTTTAGGGGGCAAACGAGTATGCGGCTCACCTAATAGTATACCTAATACCTCACCTAATAGTAAAAGTTAACCGCCGCTCATAAACAACTGCAACAGCAGGGGAATTGCAGGTGCATTGTCGGCTAGGAGTAAGCTCTTTTCTTGAAGGTCCCTAGATCACATCGATCCGGAAATATCGCCGGTGGTAAACAATTGCACGAAATAGTCGTGCGAATAAAAAAAACTTCTAATAAATCGCACAGTAGTGGATCACCAAGCAATCAGTTGATGTGGACGGTAACGTGAGTTTTGTCGTAATGTGCATTGGTGAAACTTAGCGACTGAAATTAATCCAGACAATGGGGAACACAAAGATGTCAAAATATTACTACCAAATACTATTAAACTCGTAGCAAAGATCATGTACATTACATTAGTTTTTATTACACTTCAATACATGCAGTATTTCCGAAGTTATAACGACGAGAAATTTAAGCCCTCTTTTGAATTCTAGAGATCACGCGCGCTCATATTTTGACGTCACACCCCCACAGACCGCGACACAAACGCGACGTTCGGTACGGTGCGGTTTGACCAAATTACGCGGGTCTTGTTTCATTTTCTTTCGATCGTCTTTGTATTCCTATTACTTATAGTGTTTGTGCTTGTATTTCAAATAAATAATATTATCCTCTAAATCCGATTACACTAAAGTGAAACGTGTAGTGCCAAAATGGAAGAAGATTTTGTAAAAGGACAGTCGGACAATCTGCCAAGAGTGGATATTTTGATGGTGGCATAATATTTCATGAAGAATCAGGGTTTTATGGCTGCTGAAATATGTGGAATAAAGATAAAAAGGTACGTACCTATGTTCTAAGTAAGCATTAGGTACCTACTCTCCTCGGTAAGCATTAGTAAGTTTGAACAAATACCTATGTAGGTATTTGTACAAACTTAAACATAAACTGAAAGTTTGTGTGTTTCATTTAATACTTACCTAATATGGGTGGCGATAAAAAATACTAGGTACCTACTCGAAATCCACATCTCGAGGTTGTCGATGATTATTTTATGTGTTTTATTAGTTTATACTTACAGAAAATGTCAAGATTTACCCATAAACCATATAACAGATGTACCTAGGTCTAACTGATAACTACGTAAATACCTAGGCTACCTAGGTATTTACGTAGTTATCAGTTTTCTAACTAGGCAAATAGGTACCTATTGTTCTATTGTTATACTAAAACAGATACTTACCTATTTTTGATAAATTTTATCCAATGCTCGCTTTAGTTTATTCATTTAGTTTTTTTAAATTAAAACATTTAAAAAATCAGTGCTGATCAACTTGTGGATCGCAAATTTTTACTTACCATTTTTATTGGTTATTTATTGATGCCCCATGCAAAAAGACGTGTTTTAAAAAATCTTAGTTCGGAAACACTCACTTTGATCGTTAATATCTCGGCCAATTTTTAAGATATGAAAAAAGTAAAAACACAGTTTTTCTCGTATTATTTTGTAGATTTATTTGGCATGTAAAGTAAAAAAGTTTTGTCAAACCCATTCCTCCGAGTACTAACCGTGATAAATGCGATAGAGCTTAAATTTAAAGTAAGTTTACACTTATTTAAATTCTTCGGCAGTTATTTTTGTACGTAGGTACCTAAGTAATAACTTAAATGTCAATCTCTACAAAAGTGAGGTTAAAATGAACAAGATTCACGTATTTGTATTTATTTTAAATTCAATTGCTTTCCATTCAGATGAATAATAGTGAAAAATGTGACTATTTTTCCCATCCATTTAATTTCAAATTGTTTGTACTTGCTTTTTTTTTCAATCGTGACTACGGTTTAAGCGTGTGTATAATGATGAGGGTTTCCTTTTTGAGGTGAGTTATACTTAGGTACTACACACGTTGTCATTATTACTTAAGTTTATTAAACACAAGTTTTCACTTTAAATCCCAAGATTTTCCAAATATAAGCGGGATTAGTTTTGTTCACGAATGGCGCCAGCCCTGTACAGGCCGATAGCGTGTACGTGAATGGTCTCGCCCACCTTTCTCGCTTTAACATATGTGTACAAATCAGCTATAATTCAATAGCACGCTTCAAACTATAAACTATAAATGTTTAGCACGCTATTAAATACGCTATGATATAGTGCGCTTTTTATAAAAAATACCTTTTTTATAAAAAGCGCTTTTTATAAATATAATATATCGCTATGCACTATATTAACCACCTCTAGTTCACTATACTCTTTCTTATTTGCATTGCCAATCTATTCTAACGTCATTTTTTACCAAATTTATGAGTAGTATAGACTTTCAATTTATATAAAGCCACAGAATAAATAATGTGAATTATTCGTTGAAACAATGATACAAGTGCTCCGATGGTGATGTGAATCTAATAAATATAAGGTGTCTGTCTGCTGTCTGTATAGTATCTCAAGGTGCCTATTTAGATACTATAGCCTGTCTGCGGGCTAAAGTTTCCGTCAAAATTTCCCAAAAACAAGATTATTATCACTTGATACTGAGATAAGAATAAGATAAGGAAATGGCTGAAAAGATAAACATCCAAGTTATAAATATTAATAAAAAAAGGAACTGTCAAGTCAATGGATTTATATATAATCTATTTATAAATTTGTTCAGCTGTTAAAAAAATTGTCGTGTTTGTGTGCATCGTTAGTTGTTGTGTACCACTTCCGTAGAATTTTAATTGATTATTTTAAATAAGCATTGCGTTTAATAATTCACTAAGTAATACATTCATTTAAAATGTAATTTATGTAAATTCATAGTCTTATTAATGATAGTTTAAGATGCAGTGGTTTGTTAATGTAGGACACCTTAAAATATTAATAAAAAGTTAAAAAAGTTCTAATGGTAAATGATGGATGATGAGGAGGCTGATTTGCGTGAACAAATATTTCACAATAATGTTAGGGAACAAATTGTAAGTTGAGATCACCTTACATAAATACATTACGGGGTTGTTCCTGTGATGAATTCTTAAATTATTTGTAACAATAGTTTAATCATCTTAATCTCTTTTAGATTTTCTTGCTGCTGTTTATATTATTGTATCTCTTTTCGTTTATGCTGATTGAGAAGTTCCGACGTCGAGATAGCGAGGACTACTTCACAGCTGATGAGGATGAAGTTAAAGTGTACCGTATCAGTCTATGGTTGTGCACTTTTGCTTTAGCAGTTTCATTGGGTTCTGCACTCCTGCTGCCAGTATCAATAGTCAGCAATGAAGTGCTTATTTTGTACCCAAATAGTTACTATGTTAAATGGCTTAATAGCTCTCTTATACAAGGTCAGTATTTTTCAGATTAGATGGTATTGTGCTTGTCATAACATTTTATCATAATATAGTCTTAATTTGCTATGCTATGTTTCTCTGTGTGATTATCACTTGTGATTTTGTAATGAGGATATCTGTCATAGAACCAGAATAACCAACATAGCCCAACAACATAACAGTAAGCTGATTTGACAGTTGTATACCATATAGCTCAAAGAACCGACATTCAACGGGCAGAAAGGTTCTCGAGTGGTGGCTTGATGATGATGATGATGATGGTGATTAGTCTTAATTTTTGTTACATTATTGTGTTAAAATTGATTTTAAATGTTAAATGAGTTTTTTTTGTTTTAGGACTTTGGAACCATGTATTCCTGTTCTCAAACCTTTCATTATTTATTTTTTTGCCTTTTGCATATTTGTTTTCTGAGTCATCTGGATTTCCTGGATATCGGGGACTGCGAGCAAGGGTGTATGAGACATTCATAGTACTGGCTTTATTAGGTGTTACAATGCTAGGCTTAGCATATGTAATATCTGCATGGTTTGAAGGAGACCGATCCAGTATTGATGCTTTGCTAAGTAAGTATAATATTTTTTATGGTAAATAGTATCTAAGCCATTATTGTTAGTCTGTCAAAATTCCACAGCTGAACCTAGGCTTCTACATAGATTGCCTTATAGGGGGATATTTGCCATAGTTGCTACGTTTAGTAGGCGGGTCGGCAACCACAGTTTTTCATTTTTTAGTTGTTATTAGGATGACGTTGCAGCCAATCTCCTGGATTTTTTTAACTCTGATGTCTCTTACAACACCCACGGGACGGTATGGGGCAGTGGATATTACTCTGCCACTACATGGTCAAATTCCCTTTGTATAGAAGCATTATTAATATAGTGTTAGTTACCCATTAAAATAATAATGTATTTACTAGACTTGCAACAAATATTCAGTATTCGGCCTATTTGGCTACTTTTATCCTAAAACTATCATACAACAATTGGGACAACTAGTGTAAACAATGAAATAAACCTAAACTACACCACAAGCTACAAGGCTGGTATAAACCTCAAGTTATTTCATCCTCTTACGTGCCTTGAAAATTTGGGATACTATTGTCATTGTCTGTCTGCTGGCTCAAGCTGCCATCAAAATCTCTCAAAATCATTGCAGAGATAAACCAACATATTTTTTAATTGTTTGATGTATTCAAGATAGTTCTTGTACATTTTAAAACCATGCAACATAAAATCTTTAGATATCATTTACAGAATTATTTAGGCTTTAACAGCCATTCTTAATCAATATTATATATTGGCATATTTTAAATGACAGGCTCCTACAAGCTCAGACATCCTACTCCGATTGGTGGTTAATGAGCACTGAGCACTACCTCACTTCACCAACCTCACTATTTTTATAAAAAGAATAGAAAATCATACAAACTCTCATTCATCACCATCATCATCATGATTATAGTTTGTATGATATGCCAGTAAGATTATTTCTTAGTGACCACTACTAGCTCACTAACCTCACTTATTTTTATAATAGGAAATTCTTTTCCTTCATCGTACAAACAATTTGAATCTATATTTCTTTGATTGAATTATTGGGGACAGACCAATATTTCTATTTTATTTTATGATATTTTTTGTTCACAGATTTATGGACCTATTTGCCTTTCTTGTATTCCTGCGTGTCATTTGTTGGTGTCTTAATGCTACTTGGTAAGTTTTATATTTTTAATATTTTAGTAGTAATAGAAAGCCACTTGCAGACTTCAATTATAAATTACTCTATGATATTATGATGGTCTATTTTGTCTGTAATACTATATTACAATAAGTATCAGAAGTTATGAACTGCGTAAGATAAAACTGAGCATAAGTGGCACGAGTGGTGCAACAAAAATATTTTATTATTTTATTCATTAATTATTTCGAAATTTAAAATATACTTATTACAATTTTTATATTTTACTAGCTGTAACCCGCAACTTGGCCACGTGTAATTTATTACACGCGGCCTTAGTTTTAATTTTTTTAAGCGTAACTCTTAATTCTTTTTATATAAAAAAAGCAACCTAAGTTACTACTTATAACATCAGCTATCTGTCAGTGAAAGTCCCGTCAAAATTGGTCCAGCCGTTTCAGAGATTAGCCAGAACAAACAGACAGACAAAAATTTAAAAAAATTATGTTTTGGTTATAAGTACCGTATATAATTTCATAAGCATTTAGTAAAAAGCTGTTGACATTACAAGCAGACACTTCATTTAATTTATTTGTATAGATTATGTATAGATAAAACAATAAAGAAATCTGCCAATAATTTTTTGACATAAAACCTGGGCCGATTCAGATTTCTTTCTCTCAAAGCCTATGATGAACCAATCACAAATAGTGTTCCTTATTTCTACCCGACTATAACTACAAGGAGGATATTCTCAATTCAACTAAATGTACAATTCAATTTAGAACTGATTTTAATGATTCTTTTTTAAATTAACTGGGTTATTTTCAGGGGTTTTAATCCATATTAAATTGGAGAACAAAACTCCACCCCTAAGCACGGCAAATTTTAAAGTTGGGGCCATAAAATATGTATAAGCACCATAGACTTATCTATGTTAAGTACCAACTTCAGAATGTATAATTTAAAATTTTGTACAAACAACTTCAATATAAATTATTAAGAATAACTCAAAAACTATTAGTCAGACCTTGATAAATTCATATGGGCCCACATGTGAAGCACCAGCTTTCAAATAAAAAAAGAATTATCGAAATCGGTTCACCTAGAATAAAGTTATGAGATAACACGCATAAAAAAAACATACAGTTGAATTGAGTACCTCCTCGTGTTTGAAGTCGTAGAAAATTATTTTATTTTATTCTTTTTAATTGTTTGAAATCCGCTTTTACTTTTTCAAAGAAAATTTTCTTATATCTATATTTTGCTTAGATATTTGTGTTGAATAAATGTTTCTTGTGTGATCTATTCTATTCTAAAAGGCACGCATTGTACCGATATCACCTATTGCTCAATGTAATGTTTATCTGATTATAATCAGGGATGTAGTCACGATGATGTGATTGTGATGATCACAATACTCATATTGACAGCAACTAGCTTTTGATCCGGTAACCATCACTATTTAAAAAATATGCAATCTTACTGTAAGCCAATTTTAGTTATGGTTTTTAACATTTTGATTTGTTATAATGCTTGTCACTTGATCTTTCTTAGGAAAGTGCAAAAAGAATCACAATATTCAGATTCATCATCATCATCATCATAACCTGCAAAGTCCACTGCTGAACATAGGCCTCCCTCATAGATTTCCTCAAAGAGGAGGATAATTGCTATAATTTCCATGCTTGACAGACGTGTTGGTAACAGCAGTCTTATTAATTTCAGTTGTTATCAGGTAGACGCTGCTGTCCCTCGCCTGTTTCAGGTTATAACGCCTCTTACAGCACCCACGGTATCATGTGGAAGAGTGGACACTTTTATTTTTACATTTTAATTCCCTACGTTATGGACGCTTCACACCTCCCATGGTCAAGGGTACTAAGGTGTTTGACGTTTTAATGTCATATATAGCTTTAAATAATACCCAATCTTTGGTCCGATCTAAAGATCGTGTCGTCATGTACGACACAACAAACTCTAAAAACTATAGTTTTATCGGTTTGTGGTGTCATTGTCTTAAAATGAATTAAGAGCGCAACATCATCTTCAGTCAAACTTTTTTTTTTATAGGATAAGGGTGACAAACGAGCACACAGTCCACCTGATGGTAAGTGGTTGCTGCAGCCCATAGACATCTACATCTATCCTCTGTTACAAATTAAAATGTAGATGCGTTGTCACCCGTGAGGACTAAGATGGAATGTCTCATTTCCAGTAAAAAAGGCCTCCGGCCACCTGCACTCACCAAGCGAAACGCAGATAATCTTCTACTTCACGCTGGTTTTCTGTGAGGTCGTGGTACTACCCCGGTTCGAGCCGGCCCATCCATGCGACAGCAAAAGCTGCCGCGTGGCTCTACCACTGTTAAAACTTAACTTTATTTTATTATTGGAATGCTAAATGAGTTTATACGTGGTAGAGCCAATGGTGCATCTATATTAAAGTTGTACAGATCCAGGAGGTGAGTGTACAGATCCAGAGACCTTTTTTTAATCGAAATGAGTTGAACCATCTTGGATACCCCTGGTGACAAAGCATCTGCGTTTTGTTTCTTAATCGAGGATAAATGTAGATGTCGTAAGAGCCACAGCATCCATTCACATCAGGTGGACTGTGTGCTCGGTCGTCACCCATATACTATACTCGTAAAGAGAAAAAACAATGGCAAAGTGTACTCGACATATCAGTTTGTTTACGATGCTTAGCTGATCAAACAAGATAAGATGTTATCAAATAATAACTGGTGCATTATCGTTACAGCCTATTAAAGTCCACGGCTGAACATGGCCTCACCTATAGATTGCCTCATATGGGGGATATTTGCCATAGTTGCCACGCTTGGGAAGCGGGTTGGCAACCGCAGTTTTTATTTTTAGTCGTTATTGAATGAATGAATGTTTCGTCTGACGTATCTTACGATACCCACGGGATGATATGGGGTGGTGGATATACTTACTACAAGGGTATGGATTTATTGGTGCATTATTAAATAATTATTACGGTTACTGTTAGTGTGCTTCCGTTACTATACGCTCGCTTTTAACCGAGTTTTCAAAACTCTGTTCTGTATTCGACGTGACTTTTTTTAACTAAGTTTCGGGTTGCGATTTCTGGGAAACAGCTGAACAGAATTTAATGATTCTTATTTTATTAAAAGGCATAGAATTTAAATAAATTTTGAAAAAAAAAATGTTATCTCCAAGGTTGAGAAAAACAGGGAAATTTTTAAAGTATTTTGGCAACGTTCTTGTTTTATTACCTTGAACTTGTGATATTCCTTATTTCACTTAAAAGATTACAAAATTAAACTCAATAAACTAAAAATAATAAAATTATTTCCATATAATAATTTCCGAAGTCGAAGTTTTAATATTTTCGAAATACACCATGTCTTCGCATCGACTTCGGAAACTATTAAGTCGAAATGATTTTAATCTAGTTTGTGTTATTGAAGTGAACTTTTTTAAAAGTTTTATTTTTTATTATCAACGTTCTTCTAGAGTACAAAAAATTGTCACGGGACAAGTTTTGGAGTTTCTAGACTCTAGTTTGTTAGTAAAATAGATAGATATTTAGTATAGAGCTATAGCAACAAAGTAAAAACATATAAAATTACTGATCATCTCCATTGATATTTTCCTCCTTGTCAAGAAAATACCTAATAAGGTCTTGATGTTGTGGAAACATTTCTTCTACTTCACGTTTACATTTTTCAAACTCTTCTGTTTCTTCTAGTTCTTTGTAAGCTTTGGCTTTATATAATCGTGCTTTAAAGCTCTTCTCATTGATACGAAGCGCCCAATCGCAATCGTTGAACACCTAAATACCACATTATTTATAATTAGCAAAATTAGATTATTGTAAAGGTTTTTGGTTTCGGATGCATAATATTTGTGATATATTGTCTTGCAAATTAATTACTATGCACAAGCCATGCCCATGCATAAGGGTAGCCCAATTTTGAAATATCAGCACCCAATTTCCATCAACAGCTTTGTACAGTTTTAACATATATACAGGTTACTGCCATACTGCTTTAACTATAATATAGCATAATATTTGTGATATATTGTCTTGCAAATTAATTACTATGCACAAGCCATGCCCATGCATAAGGGTAGCCCAATTTTGAAATATCAGCATCCAATTTCCATCAACAGCTTTGTACAGTTTTAACATATATATATATATATATATATATATATATATATATATATATATATATATACAGGTTACTGTCATACTGCTTTAACTTTGTGAATTGGAATGATTATAACTTCTTATAAAAAAAATGTTTATGTTGTTTCTAAGAAAGTTTGCCAATATACTGAATAAAGATAAAACACGAAATCTATTAAATATTATTTCTAACTATCGAATGATCGTTTAGTGGGTGTCGTAAGAGGCAACACAATGAAACAACCCAGCGTCTTCTACTACTAAACTGCGGCTGCCAACACGCCTGCCAAGCGTGGCCACTATGGCAAAATCCCGCCTATGAAGCAATCTATGTTCAGCAGTGGACTTTTGAACGGAACGGAATTCTCGCCCGTACCTAACAGAGGCTTTGTGAAACTTATTTCGCTTCGATGTTATAACTGTATTTTTGTAGAGCTTTTTTCAATAGAACTGGTTATTTAAAACTACTAGGAGGTGTCAAGGTCAATGATCGTGTTCAGTCGGATAACTACAGTTGTTCGAAGCAACCACAACCTCAAAACTAATTTGTTGGCTAATTGTCTTCTCTAACCGATCGTTTCACCCGTTATAGATCGTAAAATAAATTAAGCTAAAGTTTCAATATTATTAATTTACAGTACACTTTGCCACGTAGAGTATGTACCTTTAGCCTTTTATACACAATATACAGCAATATTTTTAATAGGAAGAGTGTTTAGATTACCGTTACCGCTAAAGCCAATTAAAATCCACTGTAGAACACAGGCCTCCCCATAGATTGACTCATAGGGGGGCTATTTGCCACAGTTGTCACGTTTAGCAAGTGAGTTGGCAACCGCAGTTTTTTTATTTT